GGCCAGCACCTCGGGCCTCGGAGACTCGCTGCTGCGCAGGGCCAGCGAGGCTGGTCCTAGGAAATAAGCAAATAAATAAGTAAATAAAAAGTCCAAAGTCTTGGGAAATGTTCTCGAGGCAGCTTGTGCCAGCACTTCCCTAAATTGAAACGTGAATAACTTCATTTGGCAGAGGCAGCAAAACAGCGTATGTATTTACAACGCGCGTGCAGGGGTTTAATTGCAACCCCGTGGTGCTTTTCTGCAGCAAAAGGAGTAATCGGCCGCCTGTTAGTTTGTCAGTGGAGATGCTCGTAACGTAATTCCAGATGAACTGAAGCTGGCGAGGGTCTGGCTCGTTGGGAAGACGGCTGTCTGCCCAGCGGGGAGACGCAAATCCCGGTTTTCAGTGAGTTTTAGGCGGCGAAAAGCATTGCTGCTGCGTTGGGTGAGCAACCGCGCTGGTCTTTAGGTGGATTGCCAAAATCCTCCGAGCTCACCGCGTGTGATCGAGTGAGAGACCTCCTTTCCGAAGTCTCCCTGCGGATCCCTCTCCCGGCTTGTGGTGCTGCTGGTGAGCCCCGGCGTGGCTTTCAGGGCTCCCTGCGATGGCCTGTTAACGAGAAATACTCATCCGAGGTGATGCTTTCCGCTGCTGGGCTAGGCACGCGTGAATAAATTAACGTGAACGCCCAATATTGGGTTTGAATTTCCCTTCAGGCGGGTTATTTGAAAGGTGGGCTGCCTCTGAAGGGGGGAGAAAGTCACCTTTCCATGTGCCCTCTGCCCTGCGGCTTGGGGCTCTCGAGCTGTACGTGTTTTGTGCTGAAGCACCCAAATTCACCTTACTCTGCTCTTTCCCCAGGGGAGAAGCTGGATTACAAAGCCTGCGAGGCGCTGGAAGAGATTTTCAAGCGGGTCCAGTTCAAAATTGTTGATTTGGAGCAAACGAGCTTGGACGAAGACGTAAGTGGCCGAGACCTCTCCTGGCTTCTCGTTTCTGTTTCGCAGCTAACACAAACCCGGCGGCAGGTTTTGTAGTCAGTCCTTAGCTCCTCCGGGGCACTGACTTATTTTTTTGGGGCTGTACTGTGTTGCTGTACCCATTCCCCTCATACCCACGCTCTGATTTCGGTCTGCTGGCGCAGCGTTTGCTGCTCCAAAAGGAAGTGGTTGACCGCTCGGCTCTGAAGCCCGGGTGGCCACACCGCTCTGAGGCATTTTAAATACGTATTTTTAAAAGCTGTTCTGAAAGCTGAGGGAATTGTGGACAGCTCTCAGACGGCTTTTCAGGGCTGAGGGTGAAGTTCAGGCTCCCTTCTGCACGTCCCGTCCCGACTTGCCTTCCTCCTCCCTCGCAACGCCTGGGGCCCTGAGTTCAGGTCCCAGTGGGTAAGCGGAGGAGGTTAAAAATTAAGGAAGTGGTTAAAAATTATTTTAGCCAGCTCTGATCCCGAGTTCCCCTTGCCCCGGAGCATGCCCTTTCAGTCCTTGCGTCTTCAAGGGTCTTGTTTTTCCCACGTCGTCCATCCCTATCCTGAACCTGGCTTCAGACCTGTCTTTGTCTGCCTTTGGAAGCTCTTGATGCCTTTTATTTCCCCCGTTTTTCCCCGCTCGAGCAGCGCTTTGGGAAGGCTCAGCAGCCACGAGCTTCTCGGGGCCACTGCCCGCGTCCGATACAAAGTGGGGAAAAATGTGACTTGGACGGTGGCT